GACGGGTCTGCGACGAACGGTGGAAGCGATTTTAAAAAACCTTTTACGTGTAAAAAAAATAATAATCATTTTTAAATCGCTTCAGCAATTTTTAAAAAATTTTTTGTATAAAAACAAAATGTTATTTTATTTAAAAATCGCTTCCACCGTCCGCCTGACTGCCGGGTGGGATCGGGATTCAGCCTTCATGATTACGCGCGGCCGGGGTCTGGCAACGTCCATCTGCGAGTCCCCATCTCCAGCTTTGCAGTGACCAGCGGAGCTCTGAGCACACAAGGCTGGTATCCGGAACCCGAGCCTCCGAGTCGGCACATCGAAGGATCTTCCGCGGTGACCAGCTGAACTTGGAGCCGGGGAGACGACGCTCTGCCCGGTCTGGCGCTCCGAGGCTCCGGAGGGAGGATCGGGGTACACCAGCAGAGCTCCATCCAGCTTGCTCTAAATTATGTTGTCGGCCACCAAGCACAAAAAATGCCAGCACATCAGCATTAGACCAAGATGTTGTCAGTATTGTTTTTAAAATCTTTAAAATAAATCCAGCCGCTGCTCCAGTCCAAGAAATTGCAAATGGCGGATTATTGTTTTGAAAAGTTTCTGAAGGATCCAGTGACTCCGCCCCCGACCAATCAGTGACCGACAGTGTTCTGACGTCACGTACCGGTTAGAACCACAGAGCCAAGGGTACTGAAAATAGTAACAGGTGCTAAGTACCGGTACTAATGGAAAAGCCTCAGAAACGGGCCAAGTAGGGTCCAGTCGGCCCATACCAGTACTAATGGAAAAGGGGCATAAGATATGAACTAAGAAAAACATCAACTAAATATACACTAAGCACTCATAACATAAAACATTGAACATCAGCACAAACATGAACATGAGTCTGTGTGAGTGGATGTGCACGCATGAACACATCAACATTGAAACAGATCAGCAGCAACATGAAACAGATCAGCAGCAACATTGAAACAGATCAGCAACAACATTGAAACAGATCAGCAGCAACATTGAAACAGATCGGCAACAACATCGAAACAGATCAGCAGCAACATGATGTGATTTTCACAGTGATTATTCTGGTTAGAGATTCATGAGTCTAACAGCCTCAGGGTAGAAGCTGTTCCTCAGTCTAGTGGTTCTACACTTAATGCTCCTCAACCTCCTTCCTGAGGGAAGTGGGGCAAAAAGTGTGTGTGCTGGGTGAGTGGGGTCCTTCATGATGCAGGAGGCCCTCTTCCTGCATCTGGAGGTGTAGATGTCTGTGATGGCGGGGAGGCTGACTCCGACAGACTTCTGTGCAGCCTTCACCACTCTCTGCAAAGCTTTTCTTTCTGCAGCTGTGCAGCCTCCATGCCATACGTTGATGCTGGAGCACAGGATGCTCTCCACTGCACACCTGTAGAAGGAGGTGAGGACTGAGCTTCCCAGACCAGCTCGTCTCAGCCGCCCGAGGAAGTAGAGTCTCTGATGAGCTTTCTTGATCAGGCTGGTGGTGTTGTTGCTCCAGCTGAGGTTGTCATTCATGTGTACACCCAAGTACTTGTAGCTGGAGACCACTTCCACCGCAGATCCTCTTATGTTCAGGGGGGTGTAGGTGTTTTTGTTCCTTCTGAAGTCCACAATCATCTCCTTTGTCTTCTTCACATTGACGTGAAGGTTACTTTCTTTGCACCAGCTCTCCAGGTGTTCCACCTCTTGCCTGTAGCTGGACTCATCATTGTTTGTGATGAATTCCACCACTGCTGTATCATCTGCAAACTTTACAATGTGACAGCCTGGATGGGTAGCTGCACAATCATACGTGAGCAGAGTAAACAGGAGGGGGCTCAACACACATCCCTGAGGAGAGCCAGTGCTGAGGGTTATGGTGGAGGAGGAAAAGTTGTGGATCCTCACTGACTGTGGTCTGTTTGTTAAGAAGTCTAGTACCCAGTTGCAAATCGAGGGGCTTAGTCCTAGTGTGGATAGTTAGTCCATCAAGGTTTGGGGGGATCATGGTGTTGAAGGCAGATGTGAGGTCCACAAAGAGCATACGGACGTAAGAGTTTTTCTGCTCCAGGTGGTTGAGCGCAGTGTGGACCACAGTGGAGATGGCATCCTCTGTTGATCGGTTCTCGCGGTATGCATACTGATGAGCGTCCTCGTTGATGTTGATGGTTGTTTTGATTTGAGTCATGACCAGTTTTTCGAAGCATTTAGCAACTATCGGGGTGAGGGCCACTGGCCGATAGTCATTCAGACCAGTCACTGTAGAGCTTTTTGGGACTGGGATGATGGTGGCAGTTTTCAGGCAGGTGGGAACTGTCTCCAAGGTAAGTGAGGTGTTAAAGATGTCTGCCAGCACCTCACAGAGCTGATCAGCACATTCCTTCAACACTTTTCCGGGGATGTTGTCTGGGCCAGTTGCCTTGTGCGTATTAATCCTCCTGAAAGTACTCCTTACTTCGGCTGAGGTCACGCTGAGATGCTCTTCATTCGGTGGTGAGGTGAGTCTGGTGCTGGGTGGTCTGTTCAGGTCTTCAAAACGTGCATAGAACTTGTTGAGGGCATAAGGCAGTGATGCGTCTTTGGGGCATTGTTCGCTTCTTCCTTTATAATCTGTTATGCACTTAATGCCCCTCCACATGCTCCGAGGGTCTTGTGAGATGAATTGACCCTCGATCCTCTGTGCATATGTGGCCTTGGCCTTCTTAATT